AAGCTTTTCTGTCGGCGCTGCTGAGCTGGTTATCTTGTTATCCGCTGCTGGAGAAGTGGCACGCCGATTTAAAAAAAAGTGAGAGACAGGGGGGGGGGGAGAGCTTGTCTTCTCCGTGTTCGAGTCTCACCCCGTAATCTGACATGTGTACACAGAGTTCATCAACCTTCATCCTCTTAATTGCTCGTTTTAATCACTGCCCTTCCCTTTCCACGGCTTCTTTTTTTCAAGGGAAAGAAAATATATCGCTAATTATTTTTCAACTTTAATTACATCGTTGGAAAAATGTCAGGGCGGGAGGGGGGGGGGGATCTTTTTTTTTAAGCCTTTTGACAAATTGACGAGGTTATGAATTCTTCTCGCTCGTTGGCCGGCGCTGAAACAATCTTCTGGCAGATTTATGTGTGCAGAGGATTTGTCGGTTTAACTCGTTTTCTTTGACGAGACGCCGGACGTGGCCGGCCAATCAAACAGCTCGTTAATGGAGTCATTAACAAAGAGCCGAGGTGTAATTAAACATGGCCGCTGAGCAAAGTTAGAGTAACCCCCACAAATCCAACACGCTCTGTTTGTCTGGGGTTTGGATTTTTTGATTATTTGCATTCCACAAGTTCACGAACTGTTATGGCTGCGTGTCAGCGAGGTGAGATGGACTTTTAATTATTGCTTTTTGGACGACTTTCTCTATTGTTCAAGGAAATATCACACTTTAGTACCAAAATCCAACCATTAAACTCCATCATGAAGCATGCTTCTGTCCCATTGTTGCCTGTAAGTTCATGTTAAATAGTCAGAAGATGAACAAGGTGAAAAGTGACCGGGCATCACCTTTGTTACCTGCGATGGTAAACCGTAAAGTGGATTTATTTATACTTTTATTGCCTGTCGTCGGGTTACTTTATCGGTGTTGATTAATATCAAGTATCAGTTTTACAATCTGAAAGCAATCAACACACTCAATTCAGGGAACGATGATTCAGACGATGTAATCTTAGCATAGGTCAAATAAACATGTATTGGTTTACAGGCTTTAAACGGAAGACACTCACAACTCCTCCACGGCAACTCCTGTGAGACATATTTGTCCGAGAGACAGACAAAGGCAAACTTAACCTTAATTAATACAAGAAAAAAAAAGGAAAGTTATTGGAAATATATGTGAAGTTGAATTATCTCTGACTGATCGCCAACATATAAGAAAAGCTCCTAAACAGGATGTTCGTATGTTTGGTCTTTTTAGTGAACGTCAGGTGTTGTTTTCATTTCTCTACAGAAATATTGTGTCGATATCTGAGACAGTAATCCTCTTATATTTAAACTACCAATACAGTATTTAGTTTGACTTATTGTCCCTTTTTATTTCCTGGCTGTTATATATCACTAAATGTCTAAATATCTCTCAATCGGATTATTTTTTAAAACTCACGCTTCTAGTGGCTAGCGCTCCAACACATTGTACGTGATAGGCAAAGGGGCGGGACATCTCTAAGCAGTTGACCAATCACAACAGAGCCGGCCAGCTAACCAATCAGAGCAAACTGTGCTCTGGTTTCAGACAGAGGGTGAAAAGAGGTGCTGCGGCACAGGCAGTATGAGAACAATATGCTCATTTAAATTGCTCATGAACCAGGTGGATGGAAACACACTTCCTGTCTCTTTCCTGTCGTCTCTCTGCAAGATAATCTGTCTCTCTGTAACACCCTGTTGATCCAACAACAAAGTGTGCGTGCGTGTGTGTGTGTGTGCGTGTGTGTGTGTGCGTGTGTGTGTGTGTGTGTGTGTGTGTGTGTGTGTGTGTGTTCATGTACATATTTATGCTTTTGTTTGTGTGTGAGTCTGTTTATGAGACCAGGCAATGCTTGCAGCTGCCCTCTTAGTGATCTAATTGAGACGTGTGTGTTCGTTTGTGTGTGTATGTCTGTTTTTGTATTTATTTGTTTGTGTGTGTGTGTGTGTGTGTGTGTGTGTGTGTGTGTGTGTGTGTGTGTGTGTGTGTGTGTGTGTGTGTGTGTGTGTGTGTGTGTGTGTGTGTGTGTGTGTGTGTGTGTGTGTGTGAGCAGCAGATGGCTGTGTGTCCTCTGCCTGATGGTCCAGAGGAAAATAATAACTGTGTCGTCCCGGCCAGACCCAAATTAGTCAGCTGGATTTTCGCCCGTTACGCCCAACATGCTCTGCTTCATGCCAGGCCGACATATGCACACACACACACACACACACACACACACACACACACACACACACACACACACACACACCACACACACACACACACACACACACACACACACACACACACACACACACACACACACACACACACACACACTTAATGCATGCATGACCATCAGGTAATAGGAATAATTCTGCTTTAAAATGGCGTCCTTCCTGAGAACAAAGATGCTCTAAGTTTCTTTGAGTCATGTTGAAAAGTCATAACTCAATGTGACTGAAAACAGATTAAACCTGATTTAAAGCAACAGCATGAATGATCCAAATACAAATGTGTAGGAATGAGTTTACTCCTGTCAAAATAATCACACCAAAGCATAGAAACACTAAAAATACTACAGGAAAGTGTCCTGTACTTGAATGTTTCAGTGTGTTGATAACTTGATATTCGCCTCGCTGCCTTCTGCATTTTCGTTTGAGCAGGTGTTATTTAAACCTATAATAATCATAAGTCTCACATCATATGTTATATACTAGTTACTCAAAACATTTAGTAGATTAGACAGTACTAAACTATGCTCTTAAATGTAAGAATAAGTACCTTAGTACTACAGTAAAAATAGTACTTGAGTAAATGTACTTAGTTACTCTGCTGCTGCTGTTTCACACTAATGTGAGTGTGGGGACAGATGAGTCTCTCTCTTTCTCTTATTGTTCAATGGATTGAGTTGGCCCGCTTCCAGATAAATGGTATGTGTGTGTGTGTGGTGTGCGTGGGTGTGTGTGTGTGTGTGTGGGGGTGTGTGTGTGTGTGTGTGGGTGTGTGTATGTCAGAGGTGTGTGAAGCGATTTGTTTCTGTCTTTGTCATTTAAAGAGGCTCTCCAGTGGCTCACACACGCACATGTGTGCAAGGTCATTCTGCCCACACTTACACATGGGGGTTTTTGTGCTCGCTACACACACATACACACACACACACACACACACACACACTGAAACACACACACTGAAACACACACACAGAGGGTCATTGGAAAGCGAGGCAGAGCCTGATCTCTGCTCTCTTTCACTCCAATCCACATTCCCTCAGAGGAGCTGGCAATAACAGATTCACACACACACACACACACACACACACACACACACACACAC